GGTTACACTTCCAAGTCACAATCCATCACTGAGGGAAGCCAGGGTCGGAACTGGGGAAGCCAGTGGAAGCGGAGTTGCTTGCTGACTTGTTGCCGGGCTCATATTCAGCTAGCATTTTTATACAGCTAAGGCCCATCAGTGCAGGGGTGGCTCTGCCCACAGTGGGCTGGGCCCTCCTACATCAATTAGCTTTTTACAGCTCTTGTTTTTTATTGAAATTTATAATTTGCATACAGTGGAGTTTGATGGAATTTGATCCCTCCCCTATCCACACATTCCCCCCACTGACCCCAGCCTAATTTAATGCACTCTCAGACCTAATACCTTCTATCGAGTCTGATTTGTGTCCCTAAATATCCTTCAGTGTGTGTGTGTTCAATGCAAGGATGTACTACCACACCCAGCTGACAAATGCTTTTTTTTTTGGTCTTTTTGAGACAGGGTGCCTCTGTAGTCCCATCTGTCCTGGAACTCACTATGTAGACCAGGCTGGCCTTGAACTCACAGAGAGCTGCCTACTTCTGCCTCCCAAGTGCTGGAATTAATTTTTAAAGGAAAGATACTAAAAAAGCAATACCTTCAATCATGGTATATTAGTTGCTTTTCTTGTTGTTGTGAAAAAAAATAACTGATAAAAAGCAGCTTAAGAATGTTAAGTTACCTCACAGTTCTTCATGGTGGGAAACTTTTCTTTGCAGCATGAGTATGAGGTCACTAGTCACATAGTATCTGCAGTCAGGAAGCAGAAAAAGATGAATGTCAGTGCCAGCTCTCTTCTTTTTTTCAATTCTAGGACAGTAACCCATGAAATGGTGCCAGTCACATTCCTATGTCTTCCTTCCTCCATTAAACCTTTCTGGAAATATCCTCATAGACACATACACAGAGGTGTTTCCATAGTAGTTCTAAGTCCTATTAAGTTGATAAGATTGAGCATTACCAGCTCACACTTTGTCAATTTGACATCTAAACAATCACTTTTAAACCATCACCTCCCACCTCTAAAGTCTCATGTGTGTCACCTCATAACACAAAGTGCATTTAACCCATCTCTAAATGTTCCCAAGGTCTTTATAGTCACAATACTGTTAAAAAAAAAAAATACTACTGGCAGAGGCAGGTTTTTATTTTGATATATCACAGTGAAAGATTTATCGTCCTCTTTTTTTTTTTTTTTTTTTTTTTTTTTTTAAAAAAAAAAAAAAAAAAAAAAAAAAAAAAAAAAAAGCCCAATGTCTTTCCTGAGACTCAAGACAATATCTTAACTGTAACTCCTTATAAAATCAAAAAGCAAGTTACATATTTCCAATATGTAATAAACATCCCACTCCAAACGGGAAAAATGGGAGGCAAAGATCAGACCAAATCAAGACTGAAACCCAGCAGGACAAACACCAACTGTTAAATATCCATATGCAGCATCTTGGACTTATGATGAAATCGACTGGGCTCTAATGGCCTTGGGAAGCCCCACCCCATCAGCTTTGTCACCTATAGCACATGTAACCTTTGTCTTAGGCCCGCTGTGCCCCATACCTGCAGCTTTCCTCAGAGGATATCCCATGTTCCACGCATCTCCAACATCCTGAGGTCTCCATTGCAACTTAAGCTTCATCTTCCCAATTTCATGCATGGCTTCTCAGGGTTTCCTTGCACAGAATCCAAGCCTGCCATACGTATTAGCTGGCCTCAGCAGCTCTCTAAAACCTTGGCACAAGCCTCCATGACCCCTTCATTCTTGTATCTTTCATGCCTATAAATCCAGTGTCACCACATGGGTGATGCTGCCAAGTTTTTCTGCTAGCTGAGCATGTAGCCTGGCCTGTTGGAGCACAGTTGTAGGGCCTCTGTGTGTTAACCCTAGGGAAACACTTCTCCAGAGGTTGTTTTTGAGGAAGGAATCACTTAGCATTCTTAGTTTGAAGGCTTTCTCCCTTTCAAATGAGATTTTATTTTCACGATTTGAAGCCTTCAGTGTAGAATCTGTCTATTGTTTACACTTCCTTCCTCACCAAACTTCACATCTTTCTTATCTCTCTACTGTGTCTCACTGTAGATCTGAAGAAGAGCTGTGAGTAGTAGCCATGCCACAACTCGAACACTATTCTGCCTTGAATTTTCCTCTGCCAAAGAAATGAAATTAAACCATTACTTTAGAATTCAGCCTTACTCAAGTTCTCAGGGCAAAGGCAGAATCAAGTCAGATTCCTTGCCAGAATATAACATGAATAGCCTTTAGCTCCCATTCCCAGCAGAATCCTTATTCCCCTCTGAAACCTCATTAGCCAGATAAACATTGCCTATGTTTCTCTCAGCATGCTGGTTTTCAACACTCCCACTAGAATAGCTCATTAAGCTCTGCTTGAAGTCTCAAGAGCTTCTCTAGTCCACATCTCCAAACTCTTCTAGGTTCCACATACAAAACAGTTCCAAAGGCCTAAGAATCACATGGTCGGGTTTATCAAAACAGTGACCCCATTCATTGTACCAATATTCTGTATTATTGATTTTCTCACTGCTGTGACAAAATTCCTGACAACTAGTGAATGGGAACCCCAGATTCAAACCCAAGGAACTGTTCTCAGACTCATCTGTACTCTTTCTCCTTCCCTGGACTCCTTCACCATAAAAAGAAGTGCTCCAATGGGAGCAAGGGGTGGAATTCTTACATACGCTTCACTCCTGGGAGCCTCAAAAACTCAAATAGGGAAGCAAACATTAAAATGAGGTAGGCTATTTATGAATCTCCACAATCTCCCCTGGTTCTCCTTTCAGATTTTTTTGCACGTTGACAAGACTGATGTTTGTCCCAAACTGATTTGCATATCACACAGAAAGATATAAGAGAGAAAAGTCAGTTCTATTCATACCAGTTGACTGGATGTAAACTGGTTTGATCTCAGTCTCTAACAAATATGTTCCAAAGGCAAACCACCGTGCTCCTTGTAGGAAATTAGTGGGTAGAATTAAAAATGGGTGAATATCCCTGGGAATATTAAACCTTTTCAGAGATTATATGACCACTTTGGTGTAGCCAGAAACTCTTTTGATCAGCTTAATGCTTTGCTATTTGGTAAACAGAGCAGTAATGCTACTTCAGAGAAATGTTTGCACACAAAAAAAATTTGAAATTGTCATTTATTTGATTATCTAGACAATGCCAGAAAAATCCAGGTTTAAAAAAATATGTACAAATTTTAGCCTATATTTATGGTGCCATTAAGTTTTAGATTAAGAATATAACATTTATTTGACTTTGTTATTATATATGAATAGATATTAAAATTAACAGTAGTTCTGGAGTTCCCATACTCAAACATTTAATAAAACATTATTTTTCATGGACATATTTGTTACTTTTTTGAATGTACATGTGTGTGCTATACATGAGTGTGTGTACATGTATTTGTATATGTGGGGGCACATGTGTGTGCACAAGCAAGTGTGCACACATGTGCACATGTGTGCTCATGTATATAGAAGTGTGAACTTGACCTCGGGTGTCTTCCTCAATCACACTCCACCTTACTGAGGCAGAATCTCTTGCACAGCCCAGGCTTGCCAGTTCCAGCTGGTTCAGCTAGACAGACTGCTCCAGGGATCCCCTGCCTCTGCCTCCCGGGTGCTGGGATTACAGGTGACTACCACACCTACATAGCTTCTACATAGGGGCTGGGGATCCAAACTCTGGTCTTCATGCTTGCATAGCAAACACTATCCACTAAGTTGTTTCCTCAGCCCTGTGTTTGATACTTTTAAAAAGCAGATGAGAGACGGGCATGGTGGCGCACGCCTTTAATCCCAGCACTCGGGAGGCAGAGGCAGGCAGGTCTCTGTGAGTTCAAGGCCAGCCTGGTCTACATAGTGAGTTCTAGGCCAACTGGGGCTACTGGGAGACACTGTCTCAAAAAAGACCAAAAAATAAAAATAAAAAAATAAAAAGCAGATGAACAGCTTTTCACTTCGCAGCATCACTGAGTTCAAGCTAACGTTTGCTAAAAGAAACTGTACTGATACTGAAGTCAGCTGGGTAGTTAAAATGGGTATGTGCATTTTAGTAACAGGAATAATTTAGACTGGAAAGAGACTCACTGTCTAATCTCAAGATAAATTTTAAGTATGGAAACCCAGTCTATTATAACAGCATTTGTCCTTAATCTTCAGGATAGAGCAATAAGTCATCTCTTTCCAAACCTGCACCAGCTCTATGAAGTTTGAGTTGGTCTTGATTAGAATTTACCCAACTGTCAGTCTTTGGGCTTCTGAGATACAAATGGGAAATACCAGGGATGCTATAAGGCATGTGAGAGACAGTAAAGAAATAGAGAAATAAAAACAAAATAAAATCTAATTACACGGACTTTCACTTAAAACAAAAATTGATTGAGTTCTGCCCTAAGTGGCTTGTTGTTTCCTGTGCCAGGAACTACTGTGCAGGCCCAGCAGGAAGTGTGCACAGAGCAGGATCACCTTACACCCTCGTTTTATGGTTCATTTCACTTATTTAATGCAATCCGAGAACCTGCAGAAGGAGCATGTTCGATGAGGGAATAGGCTTTTTGTCTTGTTTTGTTTTGTTTTAAATTTCTTTGAATCAAAACATTTGTTTTTACAAGGTGCTTAAAATCCCAGAGAAACGGATGTCTAACGTTGCCTGAAGACATTTCCCTTTGTCACACAATTGAAAGCAAGACCCAAAGTTGAGTTACGTCTGCTTCCTTTGCTGTCCTACTCACATAATTTTAAACATGACGAATTACAATCATGCCCATGAATGGTCTAAGTCATTTTGAATTCCATGCACACTCTTCCTAGGGTCTCTAATTCGAGACCCTGGTGCTGGAAGGTTATATATTTAAGATGGAAAATCATCATTCATTTGTCAAGCAAAGGAATGAGTTCATTTTACTGTCTTGCTTGGAAATGTGTGAACTGAACAGCTGGATTTCCTTGCAGTGGCAATACTCTGCTCCTCACATGCTGTCTGTCTTCCCCTCCAGGGACCTCAGTATGAACAACATCAGTCAGCTGCCCCCGAGTCTGCTGCACAGCCTCCGCTTCCTAGAAGAGTTGTAAGTATCACTGCAGTCTGGATGCATCCAGTCAACACTGAACACATTCTTGAGTTTGTCTCTCATACTTGCTGTGGGAACCAGATAAAACAAATCAGGGAAGCTGTCAGCACCAACAACTTTGGCACATGAGGAAACACTTAGGAGGGAGAAAGAAAAGACTTGCTTATGATTCTGGAAATCAACTTGTAAAAGAGTTTACCATGAGGCTACAACTTTCTAAGGTGAGACTGAGCCAAACAAATTAAAATTTTAAAACAAAGCCTGTTTAAAAGAACTGGATAGCTCTTTGGAAATAGTTAAGCAGCAGGATATTAAAAGTTTGAATACTGGTTCATGTTTATTAAAATAGCAACTAAAGCTATAATCAAAACCAAAAACTGCTGCTTGGTTCAGTTTGCAACTGGGAGAATTGAGTCCACATTGCATAGCACCAAAACTTCTTGTCCTAATCACTTTTAATTACTATTTCCCTACTTTTAAATTTAGCTTCCCTCAAGGCTTCAACAGAGAAAACATGAAATCCAGAAGACTTAAAAACAAGCTCTCTTAAACTCACTATTAAAAAGATTTTTTAAGGAGGAAGATAAAATTAGTTAATGATATACAGAGTAACCTTGATTAAGTCTAGTGATCACTTTCCAGAAGATGAAAAAGAACTGTACAAACCAAAAATCTTCATTTGCAAATTCATTTGATCCCCTAACCCCGTTGAGTGATGGAAGCACTGTACCATAATGGTCCCTGTGAAGGATGCTTGGCACCATCAGTTGGGTAAATCCTCTGATTGTTGATTAAAGGAATTGTTTCAGCAATGACCTCTTTTGAAAATATGTCCTTTATAAACCCTAAAGTCAGGGTCCAATTTGAAGAGTAATTCAAATCATTGATGCACCACATGATCCACCATGGGAGGTGGAATGTTCTGTCATAACCAAATTGCACTACACTGATCGTTTCTTCAAGAGGATAATAGTTCCAAGTTTTCCCCATGAGTTTTATCTGTTTCTTCTTAGTGGCATTATATTTTAAAGAAATATTATTATTCTCACTATTGAAAGCAGTTGAATATGACCAATTGCTTATCAAATGGTGTGGTGGGGAATCTCAATGCTATTTTGTATAGCAAGTTTTTATCATTTAAGGAATACATTCATTGTTGAGTTTAGACTCCTCTTTCTCCATTGCTTAGTCTCTCAAGTCATTTCCATTGCTACAACTTAACCTTCCAACAGGCTAGGGCTAGCTGTCTTAGTCATGGATGGTACATAATAAATAATAAAATTCTGAAGAATAAAAGGATAGAAAAGTAAACCACGCAAAAGAAGCTTCTCATACGTGTTAACTGCATTTGTCAATAACTTTAATGAGTATTTTAACCAAATCTCAGACATCAGAAGTTTTTGCTTAGCTACAACTTTCTTGTTCTCCTTCCTCCACACAATTAATATACAAAATTTAGCCCATCGCACTCATATTTCTAAGGTATGAATTGTGTGTCCTTTCCTCTTTTCATTTAAATATCGCACAGCACAATGCTTCCCTTCTTCCCCAACACATAACCTCAACTTTAGACCACAAACTCAACCAATAAATAATTCACTTCCCCAAGGACTTTGTTTAATAGAGTTTCCTCCCTGGGTGACTAGCTCATTCAAAATAACTCCTCTTTCTTCATGAGGTGAATGCTAATTCTGTTCCAAGGCCAGTTTATCAAAAGAAAACTGAGGTTAAAAATCATCCACAAAAGGAAGCAGGCTGAGGGGCAAGGAGGAGAACTTCCATTCCAAATCCTGTTCTTCTGAATAGCCTCATCTCTATCTCTCTAGACACCATCAAATACCTTCACTATAGAACCACAGATCTTCAGAATTAGAGGTAACTCTTTAAAGACCAGTCTACTTTCTCCAGCTGTTCTGCAATTCCTTCTGCTGAAATGACTGACTTACAGAATTTAAAATCAAGACTGAGACCCATAGATAGTTCAGGGGGAAAGTCATTTGTTGCCAAGCCTAAGGACCCAAAGGGTAGGAAAAACTGACTACAAGTTGTCCTCCAACCTCCACACCCAAGCGGGCTGCACACACAAATAAATAAATAAATAAATCGAAAAATATTTTAATGAAAAGAAAACTGGTTTCTCGTATACAATTCTGTGTTGCGAACAAATGATGTTTTAAAGATGTCATTCAGTAACAGCCTGAAAAAAAGATCAATTTTATTTGGTTTATTTCTTTGTTCCAAGGGTAAATTTAGGGGTGGAGTGTTTAAAAAAAAAAAAAAATACCCCTCTAGCAGAGAGTTTTGATTATGACTTCATTATATTGCTTTGTTTAAGTCTATGTTTTATTTTTGGAACAAAAATCTTCAAAAATAATAGTATAGGGCTGGAGAGATGGCTCAACAGTTAAGAGCACTGACTGCTCTTGTAGACGACCCAGGTTTGCTTCCCAATACCCACATGGTGGCTAACGACCACTCATCACTCCAGTTTTAGAGTACCCATACCCTCTTCTGGCCTCTTCAGGCATTGCATGCATGTGATGCACTTATATACATGATGGCAAAACACTCATACACATTAAAAAAAAAAAAACATTTAAAAATAATAGTATAGTAAAATGACCAATAAACATGAAAAATACTCAGTCTCTCTAGTCATCAGAGAAATGCAAATTAAAACTACATTAAAATCCCATCTTATCTCAGTCAGAATGTTGAGTCATTAAGAAAACAAACAACAGGGGCTAGAGAGATGACAACTAATCTTGCAGAGGATCCAAGTCCTCATCAGGAGGACTCACAATCACCTATAACTCTAGCTCCAGGTAATCTGATGCCTCTGACATATACATTGCTGGTAGGAATGTGAACTAACCCTCCAGCTTCTATGGAAATCAGTATGGAAATTTCTCAGAAAACTAAAATTAGATTTACTATATGACCCAGCTATACTACTTCTGAGTATTTATCCAAAGGACTCTGAGTCAACATACCACAGAGATCATTACACATCAGTATTTACTGCAGTATGCACACATACTTATAATTTCTAAATTAAAATGAATAAATACTTTTTAAAGGGAAATCGATGCCAGACATGATGGCACATGCCTTTAATCCCAACACTCAAGAGGCAGAAGCAGGTGAGTCTCTGTGAGATGGAGGCCAGCCTGCTCTATATAGTGAGTTCCAGGGCAGCTGTGACTACAGGAAAACACTGCCTCAAAAAAAAAGAAAAAAAAATTTGATGGGCTGGAGAGATGGCTCAGCAGTTAAGAGCACTGACTGCTCTTGCAGCAGACCTAGGTTGGATTCCCAACACCCACATGGGAGCTAACAACCATCTGTAACTCCAGTTCCAGGGTATCTGACGCCTTCTTCTGACCTCCACAGGCATTACAAAACAAGGTGTGCTTACATACATGCAGGCAATATACTCATACACATTAAACTAAAATAAGTAAAATATTTTAAAAATAATTGTACATATATAAATACATACCATATTTTGTAAAGCATTTTCCTAGAACAAATTAATGACTATTTAAGCAACCTGACACAGGTGGTTAGAAATGTCTGTGTAATGTGTATGCACGTGTGTGTGTGTATGTGTGCATACTTTATAACAATTAGGGTATTATTTGACAGTATAGCTTTACATTCAATTTATTCAGGTCATCTTTAAGTTTTATTTCTTTGTAGCCAAATAGGTTTCTATAGACAGTGTCAGTAATAAAAACCCCATACTAAAACCATCTTTAAAAATTGCTATTAATGAAGTCAAGTCACTGTTCTTCCCTAGCTCTAATTACCCAATGCATCATTTCCCCAGTTTACTTCGTTTAACTGTTATAAACTGTGTAGACAGCTGTGGTTCCCCCCTCATCCATCGCTAAAGCTTAACAAAGGTGCCATAGTTCAAAATCTAGCAAGAATACATAAAGCCGTACAGATACTCATGGAGTTAATGTTTAAAAAAGAGTATATCTCTGGATAAAGTGTCTTTCTGGAGCAAATATTTAAGAAGAATAAAAGCTATCACAGTAAATGATCTCCCTCTCTCTTTCTTAACATCCAAAGGTATTTGCCATTCCACAAGTTTTGGCACATTCAGCTTTTCTTTGTTATTTGTTATTTGTTATTTTTTATGACTGCAAGGTGACCAGGTGTGCACAGGCTGGTAGTGATCTCCTAGCACAAAAGAGAGAGAGAGAGAGCCTTTTCTGAATTTAGGGAATCTGTTTCCCAGAGTGAAGTACACAGCACCTATCTAGCACCCTAGGCACCCTGACTTGGCTGTACCGCTTTCTAGTATTTATCCTCACAGGCCTTGGAGGACCATGTGTGAGCCACTCTGCCTATCTTTCAGGATGTTTCTGACAATCAGATTTGAGCAAACCACAGTTTACATTTTAAGTTGTTGCAATGAAATGCAAATACCTTTTAACCTCTTCCTGTTTTATGAGCCTGATTTCCCAGGAAACCTGGGATTTGTGAAAGAAAAGCTGTTTTCCTGCTTTCAGCTTTAATGGATATAGGCAATGATGACAGATAATTCTTTACCAAATTTTAACAACCTGAGAAGTCATTGCATTTGTCTCCAACGTTACTTCCCCAGCTCTGTTCACTCAGTTCTGCTAAGGACTTTGTGTTCTTGCTCTGTGGACAAACAAAAGATTCTGTGTTTTGCCTTCAAAGTGTGGCTCAGAACTTAGGAGTTATCATGGCAGATGGTGTCTATTGCTGGCATCTACAAGTTAGAGTAAACTTAGATTGGTATTCTGATTAAACTGGGGAGTTGTTTCCATTTTAAATATTCTTAAGGCCTTTATTTCCAACTAACATCTTAAAATCTTCCCAGATTTTAGGGCTATTGGAATCAAATACTCGATTTAGAAAAGAAACATGAGAGGCTCTAGGGAGGTCTGTTTTTAAGTTATCATTGTTCCCTGGAACGGTTTGCTCATATTATGGTTGGCTTTGAAGAATCACTATAT